CCAGCCGCAGTCCGGTACCAGCGCGCAGCCTGTTAGAGACCGGGCCACAGAGCTCCGCCGCTGCCCCCCACCCCCATCCATGGAAAACTTGTCTTCCGTGAAACTTAGGAACAGGGGTGGGGGCAGCACAGCAGGAAGTGAGCATCGGGCGGGCAAGTGAAGCTTCATCACTGGCGTCACCGCCTGAGCCCCCCACGCCCGTGGAAAAATTGTCTTCCGTGAAACCAGTCCCTGCTGCCAGCAAGACTGGGGACCACTTGCCTTAAAGGATGAAACATCACAGTGAAACCATCTGGGCCTACAGCTTTCTTGACGGCAAATGTTTAAATTATAGATTCAACACCCCAAGTTCACGTGCCTGCTCAAGTTCTAGCGTCTCTCGTTTGCTGTCAAGTATTTTATTTGCAGACACGTTCTGAGCTCAGGACGGTACTCTTACGCACTGTGACCTGTGGACTCACCCGCACGTCTCCCTTTCCTCCTCGTCATCTCCACACTCTCCTCTGCGGCTTTTCCTTCAGAGTTTCCTGTAGCACAGGCCTTCTGGTGGAAAATCCTCTCCATTTTTGTCTTAAAAAGGTCTTTTTTAGCTTCATCCTTAAAAGATATTTTTGCTGGGTATAGACTTTGCACTTGGTTGTTACTTTCTCAGTATCGTGGAGTAGGGTTTTCTGCCAGCTCCTGCTGCTGCTGAGGAGTAAGCTGTCGGCCCACACACTCCCAGCTCCAGCTCCTGGATCTGTTTGTTGAATCTTTATTTATTCTGTGTTTCATGGATCTCTTTTTTTAAGAGACAGGGTCTTGCTATATTGCCCAAGTGGGAACTTGAACTCCTGGGCTCCAGCGACCCTGCTGCCTCAACGTCCTGAGCCCTGGGACTGCGGGCGCACCCAGCTTGTCTCGTGATTTCTCACAAGTTCTCTTCCAACAGTGCCTGTCTATCCTCCCCCCTTTTCTCCCGGAGCACCAGGTAACCTTTCAGACCCTCGTCCGCATCACAGCTCCTACTGCCCTCTGCTCTCCATCTTTTCCTCCAGCTGCGCTGCATTCAGGATAGTTTCTCCCGACCTCTCTTCCAGAACACTGAATCCTCTTCAACTACGTTTGTCAGTACAGCCAGATGGCTGTACTTCATTTGGTTCTTCATTTTGGTTACTGCATGCTTCAGTTCTAGAATTTCCATTTGGCCTTATTCAAAATCTGCCAGGTCACTTTTTATACCTTCCAAGTTTCCTGCTGAGGTTCTCAAGTTTATTTCTTTGAGCACAGTAAGCCGAGTTCTTCACATTAGCCAGGTCTGCATCACAGGCCTTTGCAATCCTGCTTCTGTTGCCACTGCTGGTTCCTGCTCATGGCATCTTATTTCCCTGTCCCTGATTATCTCTGACCATCCAGGGCTGGGAACCTGCAGCCTCAAGGCCACCTGTGGCCTCCAGATCCCCAAGTGCAGCCGACCGAAACCAAACTTCACAGAACAAATCCCTTTATTAAAATGATTTCTTCTGTAAAATCTAGATTCAGTCAAAAGCCTGCACTCAAGGATCAAGAAGGCCACCCTGTGCTTTAATAAAGCTGGACATTATGCTTGACCTTGAGAGCTTGTTTGGAGGCTCTGTCAGGGGTGCGCAGCTACTCATATACCCTTGACTGGAAAACGGTGCTCCTCTACTGGGGAAGGTCGTCCTCTTGGATCGAGTGTGTAACCTCAGGAGGGACGCACATGGGGCAGTGGGGGAGGAAGGGGACGCCTGCCTAGCCAGCCACATCAGCTGAATCCACTCTGACGGTCAGTGGGGTGACAGGTGTCGCAGTCAGATCGCCCTCACATCCTGGACGCTGTATTTGAAAAGTTAACTGTATGAACCACCTGAGGTCTGAGACGACAGTATCTTCCCCCTCTCCGTAACCCCGGTGTGAGCATGAGGCTGTGCGGAGCACCCAGAAGGCCGGAGCCCAGCTGCACATCTGGGAGAGGACTGGCTGGCTCGCTGCCAGCTCGCTCTCATCCTGAGGCCATTCCCCAGGGGGAGAGGGACTCTCAATTTGAAGTGGAAAGGGTCTCCATTTCTGGTGGGCTCTGAGCTTTGACTTTTGCCCCTCCAGACCAGGGCTCCTTGACCTTAGCACTACTGACATCTTCAGCCAGGTAATTCCTAGTTGAGGGCAGCCGTTCTACGCACCACTGGGTGCTCAGCAGCCTCCCCAGCCTACACCCACGAGACTTCAGGAGCCCCCTCCCCAGCCTCCTGGTCTTGCCAGTATCTCCTGCAGGGCACACTGGCCCTGACCGATAACCACGCCCTATGCCTCCAGGCTCACCAGAAGCTCAGCTCTGTTCTGTGGCTGTTTCTCCGGGACCAGCGGTGCTCTTGAGGCACGACCAGCTGCGGTCCTTGCCCACATGGGTTCTTGCCTTCTCCCAGCATGACCGGTGATTCTTCTTTCTTCTTGTTACTCTTCGATGCTTGTAAGATTTTTTTTTTGATGTTCTGTCAGTCTTTTTAAATTGTCTCCGACGTAAGGGTTGGTCTACATCGGCAGTGTCCAGTATGACGGCCTCATGCCACGTGTGCTTAGTGAGCACTTGAAACGTGCCCAGTCGAAACCGAGATGCACTCTAAGTGTAAAATACACACCAGACTTCAAAGACTTGGTATAAAAAATTGTAAAATAGTTTAGTGAGTTTTTTCTATTGCTTACACGTTGCAATGACATTTTAGATATATTGGGCTAAATAAAATACATTATTAAACTTAGTCTGCTCTTTTCTGCTTTTCTTCAATGAGGCTGCCAGGAAATTGGACCTGTCAGTGTGACCTGCATTGTGTTCTCTTGGCACAGACCTGAGCCATCTAATCAGCCACGACTGGGAGGAGAGGCCTCAGGCTGCACGTTTCTTACGGACAGGAGCAGACTTTCTCTTGTATCTGCTGCTACTCCTCAGGGCATAAATGTGCTCGATAAACGCCGACTGGCTGAGAGGCAAGAGGAGACCTCCCTGCGCAGGATCGCTGAGCTCTAGACAGGCACGAAGGCAGAGAAGCAACAGAACCCTTCTTCAGTCCCGAAACGTTCACAGTCTGTACATTTAAGAGCTTAACAAAGTCTTTAAACTTACATGTCAACAAATTAGATTATTATCCTAAAACCTATAAAAATCTCAACATTCAAATGGAATCTTCACCACTCTGAGGGCCATGAACTCTTTTTACAACAACGTGTGGACTAACATTTGCGAGGCACTCACTTTCCATAAAGCAATTTGCATGTGTTTTCTCACACAGATACAACTGGAATAGCCGGCGTGGACCCTGCTCCGTAAAGGCCGGGAGCTGCCGAGAGCGAGGCTGGCTGACGTGCTGGCTTTGCCAGGGCTTCCTCCCTCAGCTTCAGAGCCACGGCTGCCAAGGGGGCGGTGCCAGGGCCGGCCCTCCCAACCCAGAGCCAGGCTCCTCCAACAGGCAACCGTGGCTCCAACGCTCCAGGGGGCTGGCGGTGGGGACTCTGTCAGACCCACTCCTCCTGCTGCTTCCGCCCTTTCCTTTTCTCTGGTGTGGCCTTCTAACGAAGCGTTTGAACCGCAGGGTCTGCACCCTGGAGGGCCCACCTTGAGATCATTAGCAGCTGGGAATGGAGGTTCAGGTCGGGCGCAGTGGCTCACACCTGTAACACCAGCATTTTGGGAGGCCAAGGCAGGAAGACTGCTTGAGCCCAGGAGTCCGAGACCAGCCTGGGCAATAGCGAGACCCCCAACTCTACATACATACATAAATAACTAGCCGGGCACAGTGGCCTGTAGTCCCAGCTACTCGGGAGGCCAGGAGTTGGAGGCTACAGCGAGCTGCGATCACACCGCTGCACTCCAGCCCGGGCGACAGAGCGAGACCCTGTCTGAAAAGAAAAGGCAGAGCAGCAGAGCGAGCAACCTGCCAAGGCAGCACACCAGAAGAGCGGGGACAGGAATCTAGTCCAGCTACCTCGAGATATTCCCGCTGTTTACGAAGCAAGGAAAGTTACAGACGCTTCCCTCAAAAATACACACAAGCAAACTATTCCACCAATAATTCCAAGAGTTTCACAGACCTTCTAGAGACTCCTTGGGCCTGGCTGTAAAATACTAAAACCTAACACTCTTCCTAGGGCTGAACAGGGGATACACTAATCAGTGACAATTCAAGTTCTACTAGTTTTCGCATCAGCTAAAAATAAAGGATGTCCATTCTCAAGCACCCACACCAAGAAATTCTAGGGAGTCCCCAGGGCTATCTTCTGCCTGTCCCTCCAGGTCCCCGGGGTTCAGTCCCAGCCCTCTCCTCTACTCCCTGTTTCTGGGCAATTTCAGCTACTCTGTGGCTAAAGTATGCTCGGAGAGTTGAGCCAAGTCTCAAATCTGTAAAACTTATTGAAAAACTGAGGCTGAACGGATTAACTGGGCATTCACACATGCCCTAAGTACTGAAAAGTAAACCTATGCCATGCAGTTCTTCAAAATGAGGCTGTTCAGGGAAGGTGCGCACACAAACTGGCTTGCAGGTCTGTGTCCACGTGCTAAGTTACTCATTAACACAGCAAGACACACTTCAACACGGAGTGCTTAGATGGCTCTGTAATACTTCAGAAGGGCCAGCAGCCTCAAGTAGACCATGTCTTGCATTTAACATCCATGCTTTGAGCTGCTAGCGCGTCAGGCCCTGCCCAATGCCGCACAGCGCTGAGCAGCACTCGCCAGACACTAGACAGTGACGTTCCAGCTCAAGAAAAGGCGGGTGCCTGGGAGGGGCCGCCCTCCCCATCGCCTCAACACGTGCCACTTGAACTGCTCAAGAGCAACCAGGCTCCACGTTAAACAGCTTTTAATTCTGACAAAGCATGACAGTCACTGTACAAACTGAGAACTTAACTTTGGTTTAGGGGCGAGAAAAGATAGTATTAAAAGACTAAGTCTTTACTATATAAAATTTACAACAGAACATTTCACGGAAAAGGTTAAACACACTTACCTTTAAATTTTGATCTAATATTTGCCAGTTCCTTGTTTATCCTCTTTATTTCTGCTTCTTTACTTTTGCCTAGGAGAAGGAGAACACAAAGGCGCTCTTACTCAACTGCTTTCCAAAGCCGCACGTCCCTGCCCAGACCCCACGCACAACCACGGGCAGAAGCGCCACTTTCACGAGTGGGCCCTGGAGCCCCCAGTTCAGCCCACTGTCTCCAGACAGGAGAAGGGTCCAAGGAAAGAAGGAGGGAGAAATCTGCCTCCAACCAGAGTCGGCTGGGAGAGGCTGCGGCGGAACCAGGGCCCTGATGTGCTGCGAACCACACTCCGGTGTTGCCAGCGGGGAGAACCCGGGTCAGGACGGAAGGACGGAGCAAGTCCACTAACGCTCTACCAGGGGAGGCTTTTGAATTCTACCTTTCTGCCATAGTTCTGGAACTGGAAGGCACTCAAAACACTCACAGAACGTTTTCCACAATAAGTCCTTATCAGCCATTAACAGTTCACTGCCGAAATTGACTTTCACGGCCAAAGATAATAAAAGTACACAGTTTTAAACTACTGTAGACTTCCAATTTTCTTTTCTTATGAAATTCACCGGCCTACAAAATCCGGTAAGTCCACTTTTATAACATCCAGTTGTGATATTCCATGTATATATACACATTGGTCCACGGTTCCTGACTCACAATTTCCACAGCCACTGTTATTTGTCCCCAGGGCAGGCCATGGAACCAAAAATGTACTCTCATCTCCCCCTTTCTGTCTTGGCCATAACGAAATTCTCCGCCCTACCTTGTCTGACTGCAGGTCACAGGACCCCACTTCAGCAGGGGTCCTGCCCTACAGCCCGGGGGAAGGAATGCTGCGCAGGGAGGACGAGAAGAATCTGGACAGACAGGCCTTGCGGGGCTCCCCACTCAGGCTGTTGGCACCAGCCCCACCCTCTTGGCCGGTCACATGTCTACGCGTTGTCAACCATCCTGTCCAGTGACGTCTCCACCAAGGGCCCAGGAGGACGGGTTCCGAGTGCTTCTGCAGAGCTGAGCGCAGGGGCTCTGGGTGGTGGCGCACCCAGGGAGGGACGGAGGCTCCACGCCTTTCCCACACGCACCTCTGCATCCACATCCTTTGTAACATCCTTTATGATCGACTGGCAAACGGGTTTCCCTGAGCTCTGTGAGCTGCTCAAGCACATCAACACAACTGAAGGAGGGGTGGGCGGATCCTCCATCTATGGTCGGTCATTGGAAGCACAGGCAAGGTGACCTGGAGGGACTGAGGACGACTGGCGCTGGAGGGGGGCTGCCTTGTGGACTGAGCCCCGTCCTGTGGGATGTGACACGATCTCCAGGTGGACGGCGGCAGGGTTGGGTCCGACGACACTCAGCTGGTGCACACCACACAACTGCTGCCGCTCACTGGTGGGGAGAAGTCCCCCGTGTCGCGGAGCTACGGAAGTCCTCCGTGTTAACCGTGGTGTGAGGAGACGGTTGGAGTTTGGGAACTCTCCAGCGTACGAGAAAGAGAAGGTACATCAGAAAGACGACACACACTCGACACATGCTAGTTTACTGCTCAAGTGGCCTTCATTCAGCAAACATGGGCATGTGTGGAACAGTCAGGCATGGGACAGGGGAGGAGGCCACATGCAGTTTAACTCCTCAGCCTAAGTGGGGAAACTGAGGCCTGGAAAGCACAGGTGACTATACTAGGGCTACCCGTCATTAAGAAGTACTGAAAAAATAAAATTGTTCCTCACACAGGATAAGGTGAGCTGTGTATAAAACAAGTCTGTACCAATAAAGCTGACTACTGAAGAGATCCTCTCACGCAGGTCTTGGTTTAAGGAGCCTTTTACTTCCGTGGCGCAGCAACCTGCCCACACCAGATCACGCATGAGAGCCCTGCCGGACTGGCGGCTGCAGATCCCAAGGACACGAGCTCACCCTGCCCACCTGGGCCACACAGGCCTAGCTCAACCATCGCCACGTCCCAAACTGACCTTGCCTTCCCCAGTGAGACAACCTGCTTCCTCCGGAACACTCCCAGAACAGCATTTATCTTGCACTACACATTTGCTAATAAATACAGGTCAATTTCTACTGAATTAAAGGAGCACTCCTTTGAGGCAACCCTACCCTAGAAAACCCCAGATGGAACAGGTGATCGGGACAGGAAAATCAAAGGCCAGTGCAGAGGCCCCCTCACCAAGCACTGTCCAGGTGCTGGGGACGGGTGCTGAAACAGCAGCTCCCGCCCTCGAGACACACAGACGTACCCAGACTGCCTGCGCCAGTCACTCTCTGCCCAGCCCTCAAGTGTGCCTGGAAGGCCGTTCCCAGCAGTAACCCTGGGCAGCACCCCGCACCCCCCTGCACGATGGATGGCCAGCGGAAGGCTCTGCCAGGAGGCAAGGCAGCTGGCTCAGGGCCTGCGTGCATGCTGGGTGGCACTAGCAGCCCGACACCCCCGGGGAACAGGTTTAAGGGCAAACATTTTTTCTGAAATTTTTCTTAAAAAGTAGTATCTTTGCTAAAAAGCAGGTTTTCTGGACCTGGCTGACAGTGCCACGAAAACGTCTGCCACGTGCTGCCTGGCCTGGGCAAGGACGAAGCTCTCTGCACGGGAGGCCGTGTGTGCAGCACCAGGTGTATGCACATGCGTGCTCCTCACACAGGTGCACAGGTCTGTGCTGACAAGCCTTCCGGGGGTCCTTGTGCCTGTTCTCCGGCATGTGCACATTCGTCTGCCCACCGAGCCCCAGGAACACCCAGGGTCAGTGCGGGTCAGCTCTGGAGCAGAGAAAATAAAACACCTGAGGCAGAGAGAGAGGTCACACTAACTGAGCTACATCAACTTTCCTCAGCGGCATCTACAGATTTTATCTAAGCTCGTTCAGTTGCAAAATAAAACTAAAAGCACACACAGTTTAGAGCTGTGGAGTTAACCACCTGAAGAAACAGAGTTAAACCACACTCCCTCTGTGGAACAAAAACGGAGACAAAAAGCTACAGCTTCCCAGACAGAACTTTTTCTTAATTGGCCGATTTACAACATGCACACACACACACAACACACACCACCCCCCCACACACACACACCAAACACATACGCCACACACACACAACATACACACACGCCAAACACATACATACCACAGACACACAAACTCACACAGACATACACATATAACACAGAGACATACACACATATACACAAACACATGCACATACCACACACGCAACACAAACACATACATACTACAGGGACACACAAACCCATACACATACATTCACACACACACACACACACACACACACACACACACACACACATTTTTAAGTCAGGGCAGCTCAGGGCTCCCCCGGAGCAGCACAGAGCATGTGAGGAGCCTGCACTCGGGGCAGGCACAGAGGTGGGAGTCCCAGGGCAGCCTCCGATGGCTCTGCAACACCTCCAGGCCAGTTGCCTCAAAAGGACAGCCATGAGAAGCTGCGACACCCCACGGTACCGTGCCTGTGGGAGGGAAGGTAGAGAGAACAGCACACAGGCAGACCTGAGGGCAGGAGAGCCCGAGAGACCTAGGCGTCCACAGAGGGCTGCGTGTGACGTGAGCAGGACAGGCCTGGAGCGGCCTGGCCCCAGGCCCCACTGCGCAGAGACTGCTGGGCGCAGGGCCCCCTTGGGCACTGGGTCTGCTAGAGGCTCTCCTGCCCTCAGGTCTGGCCGATATGCTTTCTTCTCTTGCACAGATGCCATAATATGAGGGAACTGCAGCCAAGAGCCTGGACACGTCTAACCAGGAGCTGGGGAGCTGCCCGAGACTGCACACCACCAGGACCACGTCAAAAGGACTTGGGAGCCAAACGAAGACACTCCCACGATCCCACACAAAAGGGCAAAGCCTCAGCCAGGCACCGGCCACCAGACCCCACTGCCAGACAGCTGAGGCCTGACTGCCGTGGCCTACCCAGCATGAGGAAAAGGAACAGCACAGATTGAGACGGGATCAAGGAACAAGAACTGTTTAGAAACAGGCGAGACTAAACCCTAGTGTTGGGGAGGTGTCCTTGGGTGAAACCTGCCAAGGGCGCCAGGCACCCAGCAATGGTGCTGTTGGAGCAGGACAGGGCTCGGGAAAGAGCTCCCAGGGTGCTGACCTGGTGTCCGCCTTGTAACAACTCCTCCATCACCAAAACCGTGTTTTGTGTGATGTACTTTGCGGTCAGAAGGAAAAACTAAGCGCAAGCTGCCTTGAGAGGCAACGGATTCCCCAGCTCCAGAAAGGTCCAGGGTGAGGCTGGACGTCCCCTGTCCGCGGCCAGGTCCTTCAATCCTTCTTCCTCTGCATAAAACCCAAGTCTCTTCCGAGTGCGGGAGGATGACATCCACACTCCTTGTGCGCCCTGCCTATCTGCGCGCCCCCGTAATGGGCGAGCTCCAAGAGATTAATCAGAGCCCCCAAACGTGCCCAGCTTCACCCCACCCCTAGTCCTCAGGAATTTACCGCCTCTGCGTGTAGCCTTCTCCACCACCCCCTCAACTACCAGCAAGGCTGCCAGCCTTCTAGAAATTGCTCCTCTACCCACGCCTTGTCTGCTGCCAACCAGCACAGACCAAGGGCTGAGGAGCTGCAGGAGACAGGACGGGATGACTGGGGTGTCCCACAGTGAGGAGCAGGCTTGCCCATCTGGGAACCCTGGCCCGAAGGACATTGTGAGACGGGGGCGCACACACAGAGACCCCAGAGGGTAGACACACGCCCGGAGCACACCGCGTCATCGCTCCGAGGGAGACAGGGACTCGTGTGTCAACTGACGACACTCCTGGCTCTGTGATGACCTCCAGCCTGGTCTGATGACAGAGACACCAATGCCAAGCCCACACTGGCACGAGGAGCGGCACGTGCAGGCACTCAGCACAGCATGCGACACACGCACCATGCACACCAGCCTCCACTTGCCTGCTCTTATTCAGCCGAGCAAGGCTGTCACTCAGTGGTGAGCCCTAGAACCGCCAAAGAGGAAATTCCACTGGAGCAAACTGCTGTACCAGGTTCCCGCACACCTG